ATCGACGACGTTTGCATAACGAGATTGGTAATGTATATAATATTTATAAGTTTTATATTTATTTAATTAGCATACACAAACTTTTTGTTATGTTACTCTCATACTTACTTGAAGAATGAGAGCAACAAAATACCTTTTTTCTGTAATTATACTTTATATTCATGTGAAATTTTAATATACTCTGCCAAATGTGAATGCGAATAAGTTCACGTTTTTTTTATGGATTATAATAGAATAGTGTACGCATCTACGCTAACGGTTTATGTCAGCGGATCAGCCAGTAGAGGATGATAAGATGAACATGAGGTCATGTCAGTTAGTCCATCGTGATGAAATTACTCGATTTCCAAAGGAGCCGCGTGGAGGTTTACTTGACCTTAAACAATTCTATCACTGGGGTTATTAGTCCACATTACTAACAATTTCCTTCCCTAAGCCTCATTCTACCCCATCTGCGATAACGTCGTGATAGTGCATTATTATTACATTTTAATTTCTATACTTAAAAATCAATTAATCTAATCAAATACTGTTAATCTAGGGTAGCGAATTGTTAGTAGAGCGGACTAATGACTTCAATGTCATGCTAGTTATGTACCATACCATGTCGACCTCCACGTGGTTCCCCTGGTCTAAGTCACCTGCTCTTATGATCATCCTTCACTAGTGTCCTATCAGCATATACAGATAGCGAGGGCACCATATGATTATAATCCATTAAAAAATACTGTTAATCTAAAAGACGGCAGTAGATTTTTATCATATCAAAATCCTACTCTTTTATAATAGAGTTCCGGATTCTTTATGCGTTACTTTCAGTTGTTGGCTCTATAGTTGACTCATAAAATATCTATAATCTAGGATTAGAGGAGACAAGTACATCATTTTGTCATTATATATAGCGTAGCCCATAAAGACGCGAAATTATAGAGATAATAAAGCCTCCACGACAATAGTAGGAATTGTATTAGCCTCAAGGAACCATTGATTAGATATATACTGTTGGCTGCTCTATTCTTATTATTTTTTGTCATATAATCTCTCATAAAAGTTCGCTATCATAGATAGCAAACTTTTTCAAATGTGGCCAGAACTATTTACATACCACGTTACAAAGTTTAATACTATTCCATTTTTGAATAATTCCTAAAAGAATGTCAAATTACTTTTTATTTTTTACATACTCTGTGTATGATATGTTTTTAGAGGAATAATGAAAAAAATATTTAGTTAAGAATTTGAATATTGCTACGCTCAAAGCATATTCTGTGCCCTTTTCTCAAACAGGAAAATCGGTATTGACATAATTATTTTAGGAACGGTCGTTTATACCTATTGTTGTTCCATTTTTAAGTCCCAAATTTATAATATACTAGCTGACCTGCGCAACTTCGTCTGGATCACACTTACACATTTCGCCCAATTTATATAACATCTTTTTAATTTAAAGCCTATGTGTTTTAACTGTAAATTTCAAAATTCGTTCAGTACAATTTAGTTTTTGCATGAAAGAGTAAGAAACATCCATTCATCCACGCATTTATACTCACATACTTTCGTGTTTATAATATTAGTAAGATTCTTCAATAGGGCAGTTTACAGTGTTACGAAATACTTACGACGCGCGACGGGATATACAATAGCAGCTCTTTTTTTAATTCTTAGTCAAGTATTATGTTAAGTTTACATTCCACGTAATTTTGTCGGCAATAATAATTGTGTACGTATTTACAATAACCTGTCAAATATTATTATTATTAAATATAAATTTTGTTGACATACACATTTTATCCTACACCTTAAGATTTCCCTTATTTTTAATTTCGCGTTATTAGGTATCAACAGTGGGTAAATGTCGTTTATTCTTATTATTTTACGCATTGTTGCTTAATTTGTAGTTCCATTTTTGAATGCCAAATATATTTTTTATATTATTTTTATCAAGCTGAACTCTTGTTTGACATTTATACAAGGTTACTGGCCGAAAAGAGTTTATACGTTGTCGCCACGCGAACAATATATTTTTACTGCTTTCGGAAGAAAAATAACAGAGCAAAAGTAGGATTGCAACTGGGCATGTTCCAAAATCGATTGTTGCTTGATCTTTTTATATTTTTAATGTACTAACATCGTCTTTATACACAAACATAGTATGTTAGAAGTTAGCATATTTTGTGCAATCTTTGCAACCTACCTTGCGCAACCTACGTAACCGTAACTAGAATAAGTGAGACAGAAGAGCCTACTGAGACATTTTTTTTTTCAATTGTAATCGGTTAAAAAAGGTAGTTGAGAAGATATAATAAAATACAATTGAATATAAAACATCCTCCTGTTTATTCAGCCGAGAATATAACTTCGTGACTTTGTTAAGTTAGAGGCACTGAAACTTGTTAATGAGAAATGACATAGGTCACTTGATTATATTCTCCATTCAGTATAATTTATCTATCGAGAAGCGAAGACACTGATTTAAAGAAGGTTTTTAATATGACAGTGGATGAATTTAAAAGGAAGTGAGGACCGAAAAAACTGGATGAATTGTGTGAAAGATGATATACATAAATGGAGAGTAAGCACAGATATTACAGCTGATAATGATCTGTGGACGATAGTGACATGCACTGCGAGCACCTAATGGAAAAATGAAAGACAATAATGAATCTGTATAATTTATCTATCTGTACTAATATATAAATAAAGCGTATCTTTGTTTACGAACTGATATCTAGAACTATAATAGAAATTTAAAAAAAAATCTTTAGCACAATTTTTGAGAATTTTTAAGATATTGAAATCCTTGAAACTTATTATAAAGAACAAATTCCATTCTGAATTTGAGCAATGAAGAATGCTAAAAGAATAACGACGGGCGGGTGATACGTTACTGTGGGATGGAAGTGGAAGGCAAAAGTAGGTAATAGCTAATTATTTAAAACCATAAGGCGAGTGAAACCGCGTGGTAAAACTATATATTTATTAGTTTTTTTATGCTCAAATTAAGCAATGACCATATTTACTATATTCATTGAACGTCAATTAATTTCAAATTAAACATTCATTGGATTTGAAACTTATATCTAATTATTATATTTATTTGGTGCACAAACTTCTCAGAAAAAAAGAGTGTTTTTAAATTTTAAGAAAAAAAATGCAAACTAAAATTTAATCCCATTTTCATCGACAGACGTGTAAAAAGCAATTCAATGGCCATTGCACTTGAACTCTCATGAAATACATTTATTCATATATCTATTTACTTTTAGATATATCTTATCGAACTAATTATTATTTAAATAAATTTATAAAATACAATAAATATTGGAATGTATCTGTATAATGTTGTTTTAGTATCAGTCATTTCTGGTATATTTATTTATTCTACATATAAATAAATATACCAGAAATGACTGATTGTATATAAGTATAACCTATTATACATATAAACCTTCCTCTTGAATCACTCTATCTAGTGCTGAAAACTGCATTAAAATCCGTTTCGTAATTTAAAAGATATAATCCACCAGACAGCGGCGGCGACTTTGTTTTATTGTATAGTATTTATTTAACTGGATTTTCATCAAATCATGAGGTCAATTTATACACGACAATTAATCAAAGCAAGAAAATATTATACTCTCTTAGACTCTATTTTTTTCTCATCTCCTAAAATAATACGAGTAAAGTGTAATTAGAAGTGAGTACTACAATTTTGTAACTGATATTTTATTGTTATCATAAGAATAATAAAAAAATTATCTTGCTGTGATTTCAGTGTTATTTTATTTTTCAATAAAAAAAACACCGCTTTACCAAGTAAAAATGAACCCCAAAATTAAAATTATTAAATTAATAAATGTTGTAGAAATATGTAGTAAAACTATTTATGACTGGAAAATGTATTTAATGATAAGATAGATAGTGAAGTGACATAATATAATTTTGTTTTTATATTTTTGATTATAGAATAGAAAAAACCTTTAAATATATAAATATAAAAAGAGTTTTCATAACAATAAATCAATTACGTGAAGCAAACACTCCTTGTTACGAAAACTGCGCGGACGAAGGATTATGAAATTTAATACACTTATAGTTTATATAGAGGAGTGCAGATTGCTTAATTTTTTTAAATTTACGTATAAATTTTTTCCCATTAGCGACCAGGAGTAGTTATATTTTTTCTATGTACATACTAACCCAGCTATCGGTAGCTTAATTTGCTATTTCATGTATTTAAAATTGTAGATGTATTTAAGTTAGAAAATGAAATAAAAACCTCATATTGATTTAAAAATACCAGGCTATTCATTTTAAAAATAAGTTTTGATTAACGACGCCGCCTGGGGAAATTCATTTTCATGGCGTAGAGAGGCTGTTTAAACTACGTAAGCTATATTTAATTGTTAGGTGCGTTAGCGGTTCCATATTAAATTTTTATACTCATGTGAATAAATGGTATACAGTTGTGTAAATACGAATTTAAATTACGTGACATCAACGTATAAACAGTATTATTATTGTTGAAATAGAATTGTCTATCAATTCAAAATTCGAATAAAGTCAATTTATTTTAAAACTCATATTAGATTATAATACAATAATAATAACGAAGGTATTTGTTTTGTTTAATTAAATTTATACATACAAAATAGAGCTTGGTCTTGTTTCAAAGACATTTTTGAATTAAGAACTTTTACAAATATATCTTTAAAAAATATATTACTTTTATTCAAAAACATATTTGGAAAAAGAACACTGATTATAGGGTCTCATCCTACACCTTTAAACAAATAAATATTATTTTTCAAAAACCTAACACTAATCTTATGAGAACTAAATCTAAATTGAATCTGTTAATTACTTGTAGTAGTCAAAATATAATCCGTACTAACTAAAGAACCGTCAAAAAAGTATTTTGTATCGAGTCACTCGGACTTGTTCTATTTTCTTCAGTTTTGTCAAAAATATATCATTAACGCAATGTTTTGTATTTATAGATGCAGTAACCAGTGGGACAGAAGTTCCTGAGGAGTCGTCCACGAAACGATCACACACTGCACCGTCGCCTTCGCGCATCTCCGCCGGTGAGAGCGGTAAAGCTTCTCTTAGTTGCTAGCTCCTGCTTTTACACCTTTATAAACATCATTATCATTATCTCTTTCATTATCGTCATTACTACATAAATTATTACGTACATAATAATTTATGTATTATGTATTTTACTTCTTCTATTTTCAACAGAATGGAGTGGAGCTACGGGCGGTCCACCAGCGGAGGTGGTGCTACGACTGCACCCTTCACCTTCCTCAACAGCACGTGCCAACGTCTCGCTAGCTGACATTGGTTAGTACAAAGTCAACGTACTCATGTGCTTTGGCTCACCTGTTTAATAATAAATAGTTATTTAAAAATAATGGCTTTAAATTAGACACAGAGAAACTATTACTTGCGTAAACGTACTTACTACATATAATTACAGATTCCCACACACACACACACACACACACACACACACACACACACACACACACACACACACACACACACACACACACACACATACACACAACATTACTACACATGTATACAATTATTATACTTGCCTAAGATACTATCATAATCTTATTATATAAGCATATGTAGGGTTCTAGTCTACTTATATAAAGACTTTGTGCCTAGTTCAGTTTCCAGGCTCATACACTCACAAATTGTTTATGAAAATGATTGAAGACCTGTATAATTGTATATGATTGTGGTTTAATAAAAAAAATATATATCTCAGGACAATTCACATAGCGACATCTGGTATCAAACTAAGCAGAACTTACGTAATGTAGATATAAATACTTATATATTTTTTGGTAAATACATACATAATATACATAGAAATTCTGACGCCAAGATTTAGAGAGAGACTAAACTAAGAGACAGTGCTAGCGGTAAGCTGGCCCCCAACCATCTTGGATTCAAACTTACCAGTGATGTTGTTGAGTTGGAAAGTGGTGGTCCCACTGAATAGTTATTTTGAAAGTCATTGTAAACACAATACCTCTGAATACCCCATGTGGGATAAAAGTCGTGAAATTAAGTGCTACATGATGAAAAGCATCTCCAACAAAACCCTGAAATATAAGCTAACAGTATTTAGTTTCACCGAACACCGTTCAATACTCTCCGCGTGCCGCACGCACAAATAGATTAAAATTTCCTTTCTGTTGTTTTATTTTTATATATTTTCGTTGAAGAAAATGTGAATGGGTTTTAATGATTCTTTTCGCAATCGATAGGGTTCCGATGTATGTATGTCCGATGTATTTCTCTGATTAATTCATTACTAAATGGATTTCTATTATTTTGTTTAATTCAGCTACAATTACAACATACAAATACAAATATTCAGACGGAAACCTGACCACATATTTATCTATTGGACGCGTACCTTCCCAATTAGTGATCAAGTTACAACCGTTTTTAGATCTACATCCATACTGCGACACGTATTTCACCTCTAAACAAGGCATCACTAGGTACTGAATAGAGTTTGGATATAGTTTAGTGTTGACTGTTCAGCGACCAGACTACGATGTTTCCAGTAAAATGTACTTCTAAAAAATAACACCTAATTCCATAAAATATAGACCTTATAAATTCTCCTACAATTGACATCGATTTTTTTTTGATATCTATAACTCTACTAATATTATTAACTTGAAATTTTACGAGAATGTATGATCGATGGATGATTGTTACTCTTGTATCAAAAAAAGTTGTATCAAACTACTTTACATATACTTTACATATACTATAGGAATGAAACTTATTCCACAGATAGGATTGTGGTATACAATTAGTACAAAATATATCTTTTAGTCTAGCAGTTTAAAACTTTGTCGTACATCTGATGGCCGCGGTTTCAATCGCCGTACAAGTTAAATATTGTATGGCGATTGAAACCGCATATTCATAAGTATATAAAAAGAAAAAATATATATGTATATATGTTGTATATCTAAAAATAATATAAAAAAAAATACGTAATTCTATAAATTTCTAGTAGGTAGGCATAGAACTGCAATAATGATCATAATTTTATTTATATGTGTATTTTGTTTATAATATATACACTATGTTCATAATATGTTTGAATGCATTATTTTATCATATATATATATTATGATCATTGCCTTGCTTTATCCCATTATTTGGGGTTGGCACAGTATGGCATACTCATCTATTGATCCTCATCAGCCGTCGGACTCTCTTTTTTATATTTATACCTGTTTAATATATTATATAATTTTATTATAATCAAATAAACTGCCTTCGAATATCTCTGCACTTCTAAAGGTTGGCAGGTAGAGAATATTAAAGCATTAAGCCTATTTAACAAAAATTCAATAATGTTCTAATTAACACACTATGCAATGCGAAACTAGAAAATGTTATGCATTTTCTAGTTTGCTGTCAGAATTCTCTTTTTAGAGATAAGATCTTATATATTAGATACAATATATCACTGTTTTTTTTTCTTACGAGAATAGGAGTATATGTTTAAATAAAATAAAATGTTTGGGACTATATGGCGCCGAGTGAACTGCCGTGGATTATATATTGTTTATTGATATTTGTGGAGATTTCAACAACAATCAATTGATCGTGCTTCCCAGCAATCACAGCTGTTATTGTTCTCGTTTCAGTGAGATAAATTGAGTAACGCGTAATAAAACAATTACGTTCGTGACAATGGATTGTACCTACGCTTATTCACAGTATGCCAATAACACAAGCATTAATCAATTGGCGTATTTATTATTTTGATTGATTGTTTATTGATTGATTTGTTAGTGTAGTCACCTTTCGATAGTCCGGGGTTCGTTTTAAATTGAATGAAAATTTACTTACTAGCGACGCGTGCCGGCTTTGCATGGATGCAGTACAAAACATGTGTGCATTTCTCGGCATATTCTAACTATAACATATATGTAACATACATGTAGACCTTCCTCTTGAATCACTCTATCTATTAATGAAAACTGCATTAAAATCCATTGCGTAATTTAAAAGATATAAGCAAATATCCAGCGAAGGCGACTTTGTTTTATACTATGCAAAGATAATGAAGTGGTGCATCCGTTTATGCTAACGGTATGTATACTCCGGTATACCACCAGAGGAGGATGATAAGACGAACTGAAAAGACATGAAGACAGGTCTAACTATCCCATCGTGGTGAATGAGCCACGATGGTTTCCAGAAGAGACCCCGTAGAATTCGATATATATATTTTAAGAACTAAAATTAAAACTAAAAGAAATATAACAAAATGTGTTCATTTAGCATTGAAAACCACATTAATTATAAAATCACAAAATTCGCACTTAGTAATATTTTGAAAAAAAAATCGTATTTAAATTAATCTCAATTAAAATTATTCATGTTCGATATATTCTGCCACTAATGTAAAAGAAATCCCTTCTATCCAGTTCGGTTACATGTTGATAATAAGGGAAATATGTTTTTTATTTAATATTATAATATCACAGATAAGATAATATTATATATTAACTAGCTAATCGCCCCGGCTTCGCACGGCTTAACATGTATTACATATATTAACCTTCCTTTCTTGAATCACTCTATCCACTAAAAAAACTGCTTCAAAATCCGTTGCGTAGTTTTAAAGATTTAAGCATACATAGGGACAGATAGACAGCGACAGCGACTTTGTTTTATACTATGTAAAGATATTATAAACACGAAGTTTGTGAGTATGGATGGATCGATCCATGGATGGATGTTTGTAACTTTTTCACGCAATAACGGAAATTTATGAAGCTTACATATCAGAATAACATATAAATTACATGTTGGTGAAACCACGGATACAGCTAATGGACATATTTTACTTAAAAATATATATATCTTAAAAAAATTGCACCTGTACGACGACAGTGTTGAATGTTCTAATAAAACACGATGCAAATGCAAGGTATTTGCTTTAAAATTTCAAATCATAGTCCAATTTATTCGTACATCTGTATCTCGTTGGTGGTTTTAGTTTATTCGATGCTATAAATCCTACGATACAACCATTCTCCGATCTCTGAGCGGCAAATCTGATTAATCTTTCATGGATCACAGATAAATCTCCATGGATTTCTGTGTACTGTATCTATTACAAAGCGACCGCAGAGGTTTAGTCGTACAATGTTATTAATAAAATTATATTTGTAGGATTTATATCTTGTACAATATGAAAATATTACATATTTTATTAAGTAACAGAAAAACATACTTACACGTGTATGTATTGGTTTCTTTAACTTTTTTAATTCCACCAGTGTTGAGTATACAATGATAGTAGCGATCCGCCCGGCTTCGCACAGATACATTACAATACTTTAAATTTCGCATTTTTTGGTATTATTTTAATAATATAATATCCTTGAACAATTCACACAACGCCATCTAGTTCCAAGTTAAGCAGAGCTTGTGTTATGGGTACTAGACTAGACTACATACATAAAAACCTAGAACTTTTTTTTATAATACATATTTAATATACATATAAAACATCTAGATCGATACAAACTCATGTATACAAATGTATATATATGGTATATACACGATTCCTCTATATCTGTTGTTAAAAACTGCATTAAAATCCGTACATGTAATATATATGATAAATGATATATGTATTTTTATAAATAAGTACATACATATAAAACGCCTACAGTAATACAAACAATAATCAAATCAATACAAATGTGCGAGGAATCGAACCTACATATGTAATATTATGTTATCTATGCTACAACTATTAGTACTAAGTGTGTTAAACGCCAGTCTACCGCGGCCGTCTTTATACGTAGTATTGAACTACAAAAATATATAGACTCTGGTAAATATAGTCGTCATAACTGCAAAGTGTTACGATATTAAATGTTCCTCATGTGTCTACATTTGTCTATTATTGAATTCTTTCATGATTTCCAATACGATTTCAATTCATATAATATATAACTCATAGTCTATATGTATTCAAAACTTTTAGGTACACATTGTATATACACTCATATGTTACGTGAATACAATCGAATCACAGGATATTTGATTTCCGACATGTTGGATTTTATGTTGGCATCCAAACAATAGTAATATAATATTGGTGACAAATGTTTGGCAATGTTTACGACCTTCGCTTTGATTTCTGAAATTGTCTGTCAATAACGTAATTTTATACCAGCAGAATAAGGTTTCATACTAAGTAATCTACGTGGGTAACCTCTGTCTTAACTATTTATGTACCCTGCAGTTGGTTTTCGAATATATATATTGGATGATATATGGCAGTAAAATTACAGGGTTTCAAATTCGATTGCAAGTAGGACATTTACATAAACTAGTGTCATAGTCCTAAGTGGTCTAAATACGACGATAATAAAATAAAAAAAAATTTTAAAACAACAATAACAAACACAATATATAGTAGTGTGTGTAAAATATATAGTAGTGTGTGTAATGTTTTTTTTATTGATTTAATGTATTTTTATGCATACTTTAATAATATATTAGCATTCTGCATTCCTTCTCTATTTAAACTATAAGTGTGTGAAATTTCATATTTCTGCGTCTGTGTAATTTTGTGCATAAAAAGAGGTACAAAGTTATTGCTGCACATATAAATATAATGATTTAACAAAAGTAAAAAAAGGACTACGTAGAGTATATAGTCTCAGATATTGTATCATCGATGTAGTGAAGGTAGTGTATGGAATCTGAATATGGTAGTATATGGAACACCTATCGTGCTCTCCATGAATTGATTACGTTTTTAACACTATATTTTCTATCGCCGGTATTTTCAACTGTTAAAGAACAGAGTATCTAAATTTGAATGCATTTTATGTGTGATTCTTATACAATGTATGAAGTCAGATATAGTTTTCTTTATGGCAAAATATAAGTTTCATCCGTATTGGTTGGTTTAAAAACTCTACTCTTTTCTAATTTGAGCAATCTTGCCACATCATCAAATGTAAAAAAGATACATAAATGCCGTGGTCCTCTTCAAACTTAACTGGACTGGCTACTACTGAACTTACAACCTCCTCGGAGGTTATAAGTCCAGCTTTAAGTTTGTTCCAGTTTTAAGAGACACCTACCGTCAGGCTGATTTTTTGTTGCAGTGCCTATGTGTATTTTTTTTTTACGATGTTTTTGTTCTAATTTATAGTGTTTTCCCAGCAGATGGCAGCGGCGTGGTGGTTAGAGCGGAAGAAGCGCTGATTGTGGCTTTCGTCCTCCTTCTATGGGTGGCAGCCATAGCTCTCTTCTTCAACCGATGGGGCAAGATAAGGTGCGTCTATAAGCTGTACGTAGATCGCCTGTTTTTTGACAAATTCTTAATGTCTTAGATGTATTCAGTCTCACTACCATAGTTAATAATACCACTTTAATATAAAACTACTGGGGGAAGGGAATTGTTAGTAATGGGGACTGATGACCCCATTGCTAGCAATGTACCATGACGTTTGACATCCACACGGTTCCCACTGGAACCATATGTGATAAATTCCTGGTAGTCCACGGTAGTCTAATTAACCTGACCTCCAGCTCATCCTCCATTAGTGCCCCGCCACCAGCGTAAACCGTTAGCACAGGCGGGTGCACCATTCCATTATCATCCATAAAAAGCATTCTTTAAACACTTTATGGCGTCGAGAAAACCCAGCAGAGATCTGCAACGGCTTTCTGTTCTGCCGATAAAAAAATAAGTATTTTTAAAGGACAATGAAGATTCTTTATTTAATGTTTCCATAACTACTAGAAATGACCACAATTCATGCGGTAGCCGAGTCTGCCAAAATATCAGTATCAATAATATTCATCTACACAACAAATGCAAACAATATTAGTACAGCTGTCTGTCATAGTATCATTTCCATAAAGTAACTTAGATATTAAATATAGTAATTATATATTTATAATAAAATTTATCTATTTTATTATAAATATATAATTACTGTTATGTTAAAAATTTGATATGTCATAGATTACCTACGCAGACCTCCGAGTAAACCTATATTTAAAAAGAACTCTTTAATTACCTATTGAATCGTCAGAATAAGCATTAACTGTTTGGCGTTCATCTATTTATATTCACATATATATATGCATGATATGTTACAACTGAATTTACCATGTATAATTTTATTTATTCTATAACATTTATGTATCTATGTTTTATATATTATTTTTGTTTACCTTTTGTGTATACTTTAAATATATCGTATATCTATCATAATTTTTATTTTCACAGTTTTCGTTGGAATTAAAGTACCTAAATAAATATTGCAAATATAAGTAGCCTAAGTTATTTCTTAGAACATTAGCTATCTGTAAAAGTAAGTAAATAAACATAGTCAAAATCAGTCCATCTGCTTCAGTGATTAGGAGGAACGACCAGACATTATTTTTTTAATATTTTTATGTAAGTACCATATACATATATTTAAATTAGTGAAAAGTTTAATTTATAATAACAAACAGACATTTCAATTTATATATTTGTATAGATTTTCAAAACGATATACAATTAATATACACTTATATAAATATAGTTAATAACTATATTATATAATAATGTATAATGTAACAAAGAGTTATATTATGTATAACTTTAAATTTGGTTTTCATTACGATTTTTTTAGTGTTTCTTACCTTAGAAATTCTTCTACGTGAACTGATTTTGATGATTCTATTTGAAGAATTTGATCATGATCTGATAAGTAGTTTGAGATCCTTAATTATGCTATTGAAGTCGATTATGTCGTGACCTGGTCTTATATGTATATAGATACCTTACTCGCATCATAATATGTATTACACTTGTTAACATATATATATATATATTTATTTTAAACTTACAATATTGATATAATCTGTGCTAAAACTTGCCATCAGGATGCTGGAGCCATATCAACCTAAGTTTCAACAGCAACACCGGCAGAGTTGCGCATTGGCTGAGAATTCAGTATCCGTAGCACCTCATGTAAGTAACAAAAATACTAATAAAAACAGAGGTTTACAATTATTACAATTTACATAACATCATCTAGTCACAAACTATGTAGAGCTTGTAAATTAAGTAAAACGGAAATGGTACTTAAATCGTACATAATGTGGACTGTTGAACCCATTGCTAGCAATGTACAATGTTAGACTAACTTCCACGTAGTTACCATTGAAAACCATCGAGATAAATTCCTGATGAATTTGCCACGAGAAGCTAACTGACTTGACCTCTTGCACATCCTATCATCCTTCACTGGTTCCCAGCCAGCGTAAAACTGTTAGTGCAGGCGGGTGCAGAATTCCATTATTATCAATTAGAAAAAACACACAATATACATATATAAACAGCTAGACTAATACAATCAATCCTACTCCTGAATACAAATGTTTCTAGCGATAGAGAATCGTACCGTAATCGTACGGTCGTGACGATTGCTCGTTAAATACTTAGGTACTATAATCTATACAGAGCATACACTATTAAATTTGTTCCTTCAAAATATTGTCTAGTTTCCTTTTGAAAATAAGTCTTACTATTCTACTACTATACTACTGTAGTGTATTTTTTTTTACTTTCAATACAGCACCGAGCGTCATTGTCGAGGGGCTGTGTGTCTTACGACTGTGGAAGCACTTTCCCTGCCTACCAGCCATGCGGATACTTATCTCATCGACCGAGACAGGTATGAAAGATATGAATAATTCGTAAAGTACGTTAAGAAATGTTTAACAATGTGTAGAAATAAGTATATGTTATATATAAGAAGTATACGTTATATTACACATTACATTCGTATCTGAAAATCCCCTAAATTATGTAACTATCTAATTATGTATAGTGTCTCCTTTAATAATAATAATAATGGAAATAATCTTTATTCAAATAAACTTAACATAAGCATTTTTAAAAAGGCATAATTTTTTTAATTTTCTACTCATACGGAACGCAAAATTCACCGCAAAGATGCTCTTCTGAGCAACATACAAGTTTCTTTGTCACAATAATGTGATGGAGATTGTCTTTCATTACCAGTATATTCAGATAGCACTAAATGCTAGTAAATGTCTTAATAATTAACAATAATGATAATTGTAAATTTGTTGTTATAATAACAGTATGTAGATGATTTTCCATTATCTTTATTCCGAAAATATATAAATACAAAACAGTGAAGATGAACGATTCGATTGCGTTGCTCTTTTACGCAAAAACTACTGGACGGATTCAAATAAAATTTGATAAACATGTATATCATATTCTATAGTAACTCATAAAATACTTTTCATCGAACCCACGCGAGCAATGTTGCGGGATACAGTTAGTACATTATGTATTTTTTTTTTCAGAATTCCGTATTCGTTGGCAGTTTAGGTGGGATGGCTCTTATACCTGAGAGTCCTCCGAGGCGATCTCGATCTGCTGCTGATATCCCAGCTCTCGTTCCACCATCCGATAACACTCACGTAGTCACCCCAAGATCCTCAAGAGCAGCCAGTCTACACAGCGCTGTAGATCTCAGGGTTTGCGTGCCATCTCCAAGGACTTCACGGGCTGCCAGTCTACATTCAGCTGTGGATATGCCTTCAGGATCCGTTCAAGTCCACGTTAGAGGTTCCGTGACCAATGTAAATAGACCTAGAAGTCCTAGGAGGCTTACTATAACTAATGTTTAAAAACTGTGCATGATTGTGAATTTCGGACCAATTTTGATGTCTCTTACTTTACTGTGGCTGTAAACTTGCTTTTTGTGTTTCTTTATTCAGAAGGCCTTTTTCCTGACGTGTAGAAAAATCTTCAAAATGACCATCAACTCGCTAGAGGGTTGACGACGGGGTTTTTTGGATTCTTACCCACTAAAAAACTACACAATGTACTTACGAGCGCCATTGCCGAAATCGCGAAGTCGCGTTAGCAGTCTACCGAACTCCGGCGGCGTTAGCCCGCCCTGTATATGATGTAGGGCAAGCCCTATCTTATGTTAGGGCGACCTATTTCTATATCTGAAGGCCTAAAGTTCAGTGTTTTCATTTAAATTTATGTTGGTACGAGGAATGTGTGGACGAAAGACTTTTCTCCTGTAAACAATTATAATAATAAACTATCCACCAAGCAGTTTGCTTTGTTGTTTGTTGGTATGATAGCTTTGTCCTCCGGAATGGCATGAGTGAATCACGGACGTCACATGATAACGTGATATCCATAGTGTTGTTCATTTATATAGCTGATGGTTAATACCATAAAAAAAGAGGTTTTACAGTTTTGTGTAAATCCTTACTTCTTAACTGACGATAACTGTGTATTAGAGATTAATCATATTTTAATACAAATTTTCGTTTCGTTTATTCAAATTCCTCTTTCCATTTTTGAGTCTAACTAGGAATTTAGATTCAAAACTGTTAAAACCCATATATTGAATACGAATGCCGTAAAAATAGATATATTTTATTGAACAGTAAAAGTTTTCGGAAAAGTAGAAGAAAAGAAGATTGAGTATTTTACATTCTTTATTTACAAAACGTTCTTTTATTAAACCAAAAAGATTTTAAGAAGAAAATTCTTTCGTCTGCGCTGACTTTAAATGTATTTTCGTGTTTGGTAGTGGTGTATTCAAGTGCATGGTACCAATTAATAATTTTAATTATCGACTATTAGCAGTAAGGTATACCTAGTCTCTTGATATTTCCAGTAGTACTCTTATCTCTTTCTCTCTCATCATATCTGTCGTATTTATAGGTAGATATATATATATATACATAGTGCGTTCAACGCAAAACTTAGACGTGTGGTGCTACTTTAAGAAACAATTAATGTTAATGTATCATTACTTTATTTTTTTTTAATAATGTAATATTCTTAATAGAATTAGTAATATAAAATCATAAATATCTTCTAATTTTATATAAAACTGATTGAAGAAAATTTTAATGAAACTTTGCGACCTTGTTATGCTTTTTAATATTACGAGCTGTCATATCTTTTAATCAAAAATAAATTAAGGAAATAAGTAACAATAAAATAAAGGAAATCCTTGAGGAAATTTCTCTTTATTGTGCCATTTATTTTATGTGCTTCTAGAGCAAGAGTAACTCGCAATTAAATCAACGCTACAGATTTAAAATCGTTTAACATTATTTAATTTCTGTTCATGACTCATTTTTTTATTTCATATCATAATTAATTAGCAGCTGTTAGAAATTGAGAAGATTCAATATCTCCTTTACTTATAAACTACAGTAATTAAAAAATTATATTCCATATTACTACAAAAATTACTTAGTTATATAACCGTAATTAGTGATCGATTAAATTTATTTAACGTTATAAACGTTAAATAAATTTAATATTTTAAAATTAAGTATTTTATATTGTTTCAATTATGAATCCACTTCATTTAGTTATCGTAATATTTTTGTAATAAAAAATATCGCTTATATATGATTTCGCCCTGTCAAATACGTCCTATAAATAGGTACAAAAAGCTACCAACTGTAAAACAATGTTCAATAATAAATTAGTGTAGTAATGAAACTTTCCTTATCGATTTAGATACAAGTACCTATTATAATGCTAGCAATGTAATACGGCCAAATATATATTATATCTACATATACTCTTGATATATCACTGTAAATATAAACGTAAATATAAGGTTTTCATAAGTTTTAGTTTGATGTGGTCAATTACTAAATCCTGATCACTTTACCGAACGAATAGCTGCTTCAGAAGTATAAAGTCAACACAATTTTTGGAAAAAAGACTTTAATTTTTAGGTTTTAACGTTGATTTTCTTAAACATAGTTATTTGTTGATGCACTTTTTTATTGTGTCAAAAAAATTTTGAGGCGGCGCAATACTTAGGAAAGCTACTACTAAAATATGAATGAAATCCAAACGCAATTTTTTTTAAAACGACCTTACGCTTTAAGTTTTAAAGTTAATTTTGCTAAATTTGTTAATACATAAAAATAAAATCCTACCAGCACTTGTTTATTATAATTATTTTCCTGTAACTAATAAAAATATTCTACACTTTTTTTCTCAGTTTGTATTTAAATCTTTAATATTATAAAAATTGCATTTCAATTTTTATTTTTTTTTATTGTTACAATAATGTTGAGCAATTCGAATTACTCGGTTCAATAGTTCAGTAAAAAGACAGAAAATAATCACGGCACATTAGGACTGAGGGATAAGATATATTCTATAAATATAATATAAGAGTAATAACTTCACAAAGAAAAAATATGTTTTTACGAGAAACTTTAATTAATATTTAGTAATTTTAAAGATAGATATATCATTATAGTGAATAAAAGAATAAAGTAAATAACAAGGTAATGGTCATATTTTTTGGAAATATAATATATTACCGTAATTGCATTTTTGTTGAAGGAAATTCTAACTAACACTATTTTCTTTTCTATTTCAACATATTTTTGTGACACCAAAATAAATATACGATCCAATATATTTTGTAATGCAATACCTACTTCCTAATTAACAACAAACAAAATGTAGTTGCAAAAAAACCTATTATATATAATTCAACCCAATATATGATATATTGTGTAATATTATAAGCATTAAATGTAATAACCGATCAAAGTACATAACTAATTAATTATTATAGACAACAAATATATCTGTAAACAATTAATCTTTTTAATATTACTTTTTTATTTTGAGAAATAACTAGTATAAATACTGCATGGCATTCTCATCTATCTATCTAAATATATATCTAATCTAACCTTTAGATATATTTTTTATAGAAGTAGACACTACACAAAGAGGTCTATGTGTGTTTTATTTCAGCCGCCAATAATTTTATTTTGTAAGCTGTGTTTCAGTTATATAGTGATATATAGCAGAGAAACTAATGGATGCGGAGACAGATATCTTATATCTTATACAACATAACTTCTTTGTAAAAAGTCTATGTGATTCTGCCAATTAAACTGACATTTAAAATGACTATAATAACAAAAATAGTAAATAACAGTACAAAAAAAACAACACACTGTTTATCTATTTATCTTCCTAAAATACAAGTTATAAACAAAGAAACAAAGTAATTGAATAAAGACAAATCCGTTGTGCCTAGGACATGAAAACTTGAAAGATATTCTAAGCGTTTACTACATGTTTACTAATCTTGACGATGGTACTTTCTATATTTGTATTTATTACGATTTTTCTCCAAAAATACTGACATCTAAAGTAATTTCGATATTTCAGTTTGTTCTTCGTTATTCTTCTTCCTATAACTAAAAAACTAACGTAATTTCTGAAAGTAAATAAATATAATTTTCATAAACATGAAATATGTAATATAATATACGTTTGAGAATTAATTCCTTAAATAAAAAAACATGCCGATATAAGAATAAGTAATTCTAAAAATATATTTATATATATGAGTATTTATTAATAGATTCCAATATAAAGACCATAAACATAGATTAATATGTTTCCTATGAAGAAATAAAAATGTAATATTTTTGTCTATAGAATGACAAACCTAAGTCGGCTTGTAAACTATGGAGTAAGTTCTAAACGACAACAAACTCTATATACATGACTTTCGGTTACTTTTAAAGTACACAATTTAGATCTTGATAATAATATACCGAGTAAAGCCTTCGTCCTTTGTGTAGATAACAAAATGCGATATATTAAGTGCTTTCAAAAATATCAATTCCGTCCGGAATTCGCTCAGTCCTTTGTGCACTTCATATAACCTCAGAAAAATGTAGGAACAAGATTATCATTTCTTATTCGAACTTTCTGTTCAATTCTATATTAGTTTTAGTCTAAATTGTAAATAATTATTTTCTACAATTAATATACCAGAAGACTAATTGTGTCAATTAACTAATTATGCTAACACCAACCAAATATTTAATCATACTGAAATATCAAAAAGAATCTGTACAAGATTAAAAAGATGTATGTATGCAACTAATGAATAATTAATTTTTGACACAGCTAATCTTCTAAATATCTTATATAAATTATTCTACATTTAAATTAATTTATTTATATAAGTAAATAAATAAATTAATTTAAATATGGGAAATTATAATATAATTTATTAAAATATTTAAGCGGTAATTTATATAGTTATTACCGATAGAACAGTAATATATTTTGATTTAAATTTAAAATAAATGAATGATATTTTAAATTGAAAATGTAAACTAAGAATGCCTACGCTCACAATGACGTAAAAGAAATTTTATTAAACCTCTCAAATCAAGCTGTGTTTTATTTACAAGCATACTCGACTAACTTAGTCGAGTTACCAGTCCTCCAGTATATAAGTATTAGCGCTAGTATAACATGGTAACTTCATGACTGTGGTGGATTTCATGTGTATAAGCGCCGGCTACCATTTACCATTAGGCGGGCAGTCACCTTGCTTGCCTATTATGAAAGTATTGCTTATTGCTAAGAGAATTGTCGATGATCCCGATCTCTCAGGCGATATCAAACTAACTTAATTTCAGCTTGAAGCGAAACTTCGTATCCCTTTGTGTATTCTAGCGAACAGATATACAACGGACTGTGTTCTGAAGAATTGCCCGACATGATACTTACGGCTACCTTTCATCATCACACCCCTCGCCATCGACAGGAAATTCATCCCTACACGCTGGAACCTAAGGGGTCTCGTAACTTAGATTGTGGATTGAACTACATACCGAGGGTTTCTTGAAAGAGTATGTAATATTTCATGTTTTTTTTTAATTGATTTAAAGTATTTTAGATGGTACTACGGTACTACCGATTACTATAAAATCAGCCGTATGATTGTTTGCCACCATATTAGTATAAAAAAACGAAAAGACATTTAATCAAAGTCAAAAGCAGTCATAAGTCACTGCCATAGACTGCAATTATATCTATATTCTTAATTATATCTATATTAAATCCAAATTGTAGATACCTGATAG